GAACCAAGAACATCTGGAGGAGCTGGGGAGCTGGAGCTCAGCAACTGGGACCCTCCAATGGCGAACCTGGTTTCGGTAAGGCTGAGGTCGGGGGGACTGGGGGCACTGGCAGGACTCAGGTAGCCCCTGTCTGTGATACCTACCCTTGTGTCCCCAGGTGCTCCCATGCTCGGGCCCGAGCCCTTCTGCTCCAGTACTTCCCAGTTTTGACCTGGCTACCCCAGTATCCTGTGCGTGACTGGCTTCTGGGTGACTTGTTGTCTGGCCTGAGTGTGGCCATTATGCAGCTACCACAGGGTGAGCCACCCTTGACCTGGAGACTGTACCCTCAACCCTTGGATGATGACCCCGACCCTTCAAGGCCCTGGCCTGTAATCTGTGAACCACTGCCTGCCCCCACCTCCCCCCACCCCTCCGCCAAAAGCCAGAAACATGACCCCTGCCCCTGGAACTATGGCCCATGACCCAGGGCTGGGATTTCCTCATCCTTTCAAGACCCTGGCCTCCAAGTCTACATTGCTACCATTCCACCTCCAGGCCTGGCCTATGCCCTCCTGGCTGGACTGCCCCCCGTGTTTGGCCTCTACAGCTCCTTCTATCCTGTCTTCATCTATTTCCTGTTCGGCACTTCCCGGCACATCTCCGTGGGTGAGTGGAGCCAGGAGGGTGCCTACATTCCCCACAGAGGACAGGGTGAGGGAGGGCTGAGCAGGGCAAGGAAACGCAGGGAACAGGGAGGGAGGCATTGATGCCGGGCCAGTGGGAGACTGGCCCAAGGGTCATTCCAGGCAGGACTGGGCCTCTGACCGTGGAGACAGATTCAGGTTACCTAGAGGCCTTGGCCCAGGAGGATATGGGTGAGTGAAGCATCTCAAGGGGCCCAGACTTGGCACAGACCTGAGAGCCTGAGGCAGGCCATGCCCCCTTCCCCATTCCACTTTTCATAGGGGGAGTGGTCCTGAGCCAGTGGATACAGGTGGGACAAGGTAGATGATGCAGGGCCAACATTTCTAGCCAAGCTCAAGAGCCTTTGAACTTAGAGTTCATACATGACTGCCAGCGCTGCCTCTATTTGCACAGCAAGTCTGAGGATATTGGTCTAGAACTAGGTGTCTCCTGGCCTCTCCCTTAAGACCAGGACTCCAGGGCAGGGCAGTGCCCCCTCCCCTTCAGACCACATTGATCTGCCCCTGCAGGCACCTTTGCTGTCATGTCCGTGATGGTGGGCAGTGTGACAGAATCACTGGCTCCGGATGAAGCCTTCCTGCAGGCCTCGAACTCCACTGTTGATGTGGCGGCCAGAGATGCTGCTCGGGTGCAGGTGGCCTCCACACTCAGTGTCCTTGTTGGCCTCTTCCAGGTGCGGAGCAGTCAGGAGTACAGGCCCCTGACTGCCAGACCCACCCCTCACCCCGTTTGCCAGGTCCCCTGAGTGTCTGGCCATCACCATCTTCCTCCTCATCATCACTCATCCCCCTCTGCTCCCACCTGCCCTGGGCTCTGCCCCGGCCACCCCTAGGACCCTCTCCTCCCCTGACTGCCCTGTGCACCCCACAGGTGGGGCTGGGCCTGGTCCATTTCGGCTTCGTGGTCACCTATCTGTCAGAGCCTCTGGTCCGAGCCTATACCACAGCCGCGGCTGTGCAGGTCTTCGTCTCGCAACTCAAGTATGTGTTTGGCCTCCATCTGAGCAGCCGCTCTGGGCCACTGTCCCTCATCTATGTGAGTGAGGGTAGGAGGAGGGAAGGGTGGGTGGGCCCAGGACCTTGAGTGCTGGCTGTGACCCCCGCTCCCCTCAGACAGTACTGGAGGTCTGCTGGAAGCTGCCCCAGACTGTGGTCGGCACCATGGTCACTGCAGTTGTGGCAGGGGTGGTTCTCGTGCTGGTGAAGCTGTTCAATGACAAGCTGCGGCGACAGCTGCCCATGCCGCTCCCTGGGGAGCTGCTCACGGTTTGAATTCTGGTGGGGGGGAGGGGGGGCAGGGGGAAGGGCAAGTGATGAGTCCCTGCCGTGTGGGCGTCCCCCAGATAGTTAAAGACTAGTTGGCGTGGGCACTGAGGACTGGGGGGACCACAGCCGACAGCCCCTAACAGCATCTCCCTTTCCCCAAAATGGTGGTGTCCATCTTTTACCCTATCGCTGACTTCTGCCCACCCCTCTGAAGGTTTCGCTTCAGGCCTCTCTCTTTACGCCCAAAGTGATTTCTCCATCCCCCTTAATGGTGGTGCCAGCACCTACCTCCCCTGACTCTGTCCTCTCCCTGCAGCTCATCGGGGCCACAGGCATCTCCTACGGCGTGGGACTGCAGCACAGATTTGGGGTGGATGTCGTGGGCAAAATCCCTGCTGGGTGAGCTCCGGCCCCTGTCAGGTCAGGGAGGGTTGGGTGGCCAGGGCCACAACGTTCCTTTGGCCTCACAGATGCCCCTCACAGGCTGGTGCCCCCAGTGGCCCCCAGCCCCCAGCTGTTCGCAAGGCTTGTGGGAAATGCCTTCGCCATCGCTGTGGTTGGGTTCGCCATTGCCATCTCGCTGGGGAAGATCTTCGCCCTGAGGCATGGCTACCGGGTGGACAGCAACCAGGTCTGGGGAATGGGATGTGGGACACGGAGCGGGCAGGTGTACAGAGATCCCAGGGCTTGGGGGGATGGAGTATCAGGTGGGAGACAGGGAAACAGCAAACAGATGTGCTGGGGCCACATGGGGGACTGAGGGTGGGAGAGCAGGACACATGGGACAGTGGCCAAGTCTTTGGAGGCTACTGAGTACGGATGGAGGTTGGGGATGCATAGGCCAGGACACAGTGACCACGCACTGCTAGTGATGTGTCCTGACACCTGCACTACCCCCATCAGGAGCTGGTGGCACTTGGCCTCAGTAACCTCATCGGGGGCATCTTTCAGTGCTTCCCTGTGAGCTGCTCTATGTCTCGGAGCCTGGTACAGGAGAGCACCGGGGGCAACACACAGGTGGGCTGCAGGTGTGGGCTGCAGGTGTGCATCTACACACATACTGCTTTGCCTGGGTGGTCCTACCCCCTGCTTTCCCCCCCCCCCCCCCACTCCCCCTTCCCCCCTGCTCTCACCTTCTTCTCCCCTACACTGCAGCCCACTCATCCGCCTGCTCGCTCCCACTGTACAGGTGGCTGGAGCCATCTCCTCCCTCTTCATCCTCATTATCATCGTCAAACTTGGAGAACTCTTCCAAGACCTGCCCAAGGTGAGCTGCCATCCTGCACCCAGCCAGGCTTGAGGGCCTTGGCCAGGCCAGGGACTCAGATCAGTCAGTCAGGGCCTGGGTGAGGGGGAGGGATACAGGGTCATGCCCTGTTTTTCAAGCTTGAGATCTCTGGTTGAGATTTGGAGTCGACAGTCAGGGGTAAGAACCTTTGAGAGTCAGACCCAAGTTGTTAGGTTCGGGGTCAGGAGGTGGTTAGTGTCATTCGGGGTCATACCCAGGTGCTTGAGGACAGTCTGGCTCAGGCTGGATGGTCAGGGTTGTCAGCATCCTGCACCTCTCAGTAGCTCCTGGTGACCCTCCCCCTCCCCCAGGCAGTCCTGGCTGCTGCCATCATTGTGAACCTGAGGGGCATGTTGATGCAGTTCACCGACATATGCTCCCTCTGGAAGGCAAATCGAGTGGATCTGGTGAGAGGCCTGGGAGCCCAGGGGTGGGGTCAGGGCCTTCAGCCCCAGTGACCCTTCTAGACCCTGTTGACTCCTACCCTTCTGTTTTTAGCTCATCTGGCTGGTGACCTTTGTGGCCACCATCATGCTGAACCTGGACCTTGGCCTGGCAGTTGCGGTAGTCTTCTCCCTGCTGCTCGTGGTGGTCCGCACACAGTTGTGAGTCACCCCTTTGGTTCCCCCCTCATTCCAGCTGGTGAGGGAGTGAGGTCCACGTTGGTTTCCCCCAGCTTTCCCACATCTTGGGGGGGTGACCCAAGGCTCCTTAGAACCCCCTCATTGCCCCCTCTCTTAATGCCCCCCTCTTCTCACACTTTCTCTTTCACAGGCCCCACTACGCTGTCCTGGGGCAGGTGCCAGACACAGATATTTACAGAGACGTGGCAGAGTACTCAGAAGTGAGTGGCAGGGGCTAAGCCAGAGGATGGCGTGGATGGGGTAGGACAGAGGCAGACGGGGCCATCCCTTATCAGGTCCTTGCGTACTTGGCAAGGACACGGGGGTGGGGCGCTAAGGGTGCTTTGGTCCTTGGAATTTCAAGGGAGGAATTTGGGTCTCTGACCCCCATACTCAGAGTATGGGCCTTAGGGCTGGGGGAGGAGTCTGTCTTAGAGGCAGCAGTACAAGCCCCATCCTGCAGAGTAGCCCTGGGTCAGGAATGTAGAGGGGCAGGATCTGGGGCACGAGGATATAGGGGAGGCTGTTTGCTGACCTGATCAGTGGGGTTACTGAATCTCCGTCCTTTACCTCCTGAGAAGTCTCACGTCAAGCCCTGGGAACAAAAGTGGGGGCTCTGGAATAAAACGAGCTCATTTTCCCTGATGGAGCCTTGAAGGCTGAGCATAGTATGATGAGGCAGAGTGAGGGAAGGACATGAGTGGAGAAGCTCAGCTGGATGGAAAGGGAGGTGGGGGGTGGCGCAGGGACATTGTTCAGGCCCAAAGGCCAAGCAGAGACCTGGAGTGTCCTGAGCGGGGTGGGAGCCAGGGAAGGCTTGGCTGGGCTGGCAGTTGAGGAGGGTCTCTCTGTCCACATACAGAAAACAGACCCCAGTGCTGGGGTTGGAGACCCAAGCGGAAGCTAAGAGCCATTGAAACCTGGCCTGGGTATTGGCAGAAGGACAGGGCAGATGGGGTGGGAGAGGTTCAGGATGCCCTGGAGGAAGAAGCAGCAGCTCTGACAGGCCCAGCTGAGGGGTCAGGATGACCCCACCAGCTCCTGGGAAGGCATGGCCTGCAGGCCGGGCCTCTGTTGGCTGGGAAGCAGAGGGTTGATGATGGCAGGTACCGGGGTACACAGGGGAGGAAAGAAAGAGAGCAAGATGCAGCTAGGAGAGATGAGGGCTCAGCCACCCCCAACCTGACCTATCCCCAGGCCAGGGAGGTCCCAGGCGTGAAGGTCTTCCGCTCCTCGGCCACCATGTACTTTGCCAACGCTGAGCTCTACAGTGACACGCTGAAGCAGAGGGTGAGGCCTGGGGTCCACAGCGGGAGGGGCAGAGGGTCTCTCACCTCCCCGGTGTCCACATCCCCTGCCCTGCCCTTTGCTCTAGTGCGGTGTGAACGTGGACCACCTCATCTCCCAGAAGAAGAAACTGCTCAGGAAGCAGGAGCTAAAGCTGAAGCGACTTCAGAAAGAGAATAAGCTCCCGAAACAGGCAGGGGCCCTTCTGACCCCACCCGCCCTTTCTCCCAGCCTCCTGGCTTCTCACCCTCATTCTTCATCCCTCCTCCTCTCTCCCTGATGCCCCCAACGACCCTGCAGGTCAGGGTTCTGCGGGCAGTTTTGTTTTTCTCCTGCCTCCTAAGCCAATGGTGGCGTTAACCATCACAGTCCTCTTCCCAAAGTAGGTCAGAACCCCACAGCCTTCAGCCTGGCTGCCCTGGGTCCCAAGCTTCAGCTCCTAGTCCACCTGCCTGCCCAAAGCCAGGGGACAACACCAGGCCTGCCTGGCCTGGTTGTCATATGACAGCTGGGACACCTCTTTCCTGGCCTAGGCTGCCGCCTCCAAGGGCACTTCCATTTCCATCAATGTCAACACCAGTGTCACAGACATTGAGAGCAACGATGTGGAGGGCTCCAAGGCCAAGGTGAGGCTGGAGGTGGGAGAGGGGCCAACCATGAGCTGCAGGGATGAGAGTGCCCATGTGTGGAGTGGAGTGATGGATCAGATGCTCTACAGGGAGATCTCTAGTGATATGCCATAGAGTTCTGCTTGTGGCTCTCTGGTCTGTAATCTGAGGCCTAGCCAAAGACCTTGAATTTGTGAATTCTACAAGACCCTGCAGTCTGTGTTCATGGGCAGAGGGAAGGGATTGGGCATGTGGGAAAAATCCGGGATCAAAGGGGACATGAATCTCAATTAGAGGCTCAGGCAGGACTTCCCTGGCAGGCCAGTGGTTAAGACTCTACGCTCCCAGTGCAGGGGCCATGGGTTCCATCCCTGGTCAGGGAAGTTTCACATGCCGTGTGGCGCCCCCCTCCCCCCATAAAAGACTCAGGCAGGGTGCCAGGATATCTGTGTGTGTGCATGTGTCCGTGTGTCTCTTTTGGTTTGTCTCCATCCTCAGTCAGTCACTCTGGCTGACTGAGGATGGGGTGTGGTCTCTGATGCCCTTCCTTCTTAAGTGTCCCTATTAAGTATGGGCCCAGGAAGTAACAGAGCAGTAGATGCATGTCTATGTGTGCTCCCGGAGTCTGGGCACCCTCCCCTGTGTGTCCCCATGTGTCCCTCCTGTCTTTACATACAGGCTCCCTGTCTCCATATCCTCATGTGTCTACTGCATGCCCCATATATGTGGCCGTTTACACGTCTGATCCTGTGTGTCTGCACGTCTGTGTATGTTCCCTCCCTTCACCCCCCGTGGGCGGCCCTTGCAGTGTGTCATTTCCCAGCAGGTGAGTGCAGGGACTGAGCTAGAGGATACAGCAGCCAGGTGTCAAGAAGATGCCAAGGCCCCAGACATGTCCTCACTGAAGACCCTGGGCCTGCCTCAGCCAGATTTCCACAGCCTCATCCTGGACCTGAGTTCCCTTTCCTTCGTGGACACTGTGTGTCTCAAGAGCCTGAAGAATGTAAGGGGCCTTGAAGGGCCCTAAGAAGGCCCCTAAGAAGGGCCTTGGGGAGGACAAGGCCCTTCAACCCTGACCCCATAACTAACTCCAAGAGCCCTCTGAGCCTAACCCCCAACCCTCTGAGCTCCCCCTCTGAACTCCCTTTCCCCCCAGCCTGCCCAAGTCCCCCTTTGGAGCCCCTGACCCTCCCGCTGAGTCTGGCCCCCTTTTCTGCTGCAGATTTTCCGTGACTTCCGGGAGATCGAGGTGGAGGTGTACATGGCTGCCTGCCACTGTGCGTGGGGTGGACACAGCAAGAGCGGTCCGGGGAGGGGGTGGGGATTCTGGCCAAGGAATCTGCCAGGCAGCACAAGGAAAAAGTCCTTCTCTGAAACTGGAGGTCAGAGGTGTCCTGGGAGGGAGGGGTCAAGGGTCAAGAGTTGGGGTTTAGCTATAAGCCTCAGGGGTGGTGGTCAGGGTGACATTCCGCCAGTGCCTGGGTGTTCCTGGGGGTTCTGCGGGTCAGGGGAGACCAACTCCTTGCCTACAGCTCCCGTGGTCACGCAGCTTGAGGCGGGGCACTTCTTCGATGCATCTATCACCAAGCAGCATCTCTTTGCCTCTGTCCACGATGCTGTCATCTTTGCACTCCAACACCCAAGGTCCAGCCCCGTCAACCCTGTTTTGGTGAGCTGACCTCTGTTGCTGAGCTCTTTTTGTTTATCTACTGCTTGTCCCATCCTGACCCCATTTCCAGGAAGTCCACCCTTCCTGGATGGCTCTGATTAGCTCTGCCACCAGTGGATCCACTGCCTTCCCCTCCTGCCTTTAGAGGAAGCTGCTCCCGGGGGAGGGGGTAGTACGTGTCCTTCGGAAACTGACAGGAGCCTCTCCTCCTCTCCCTGCCCAGGTTACCAAACTCTGACCTGCTGCCACCGTGCCTGAGACTGCCCACCTCTGGAGGTTGTGACCGGTTACCCGTGAGGACCCCCTACCCCTGGGCTGCCTCCAGATGTCACCCAGGAGTCCCCTCCGTACGCACGCACATAACTCAGGGATGGAGGTTCTGGGACTCCAAGTTCAGTGCTCTAGGCCTGGGATAAGGCACTGGCCAAGTGGGAGGAGCATGCATGTTTTTAGCCTCAGGAATAAAGATTTGTTTTCCCAATGCCAGGCTCTGCTGTGGCTTGGTGGGGCCTTGGCTATAGTCCATAGCCCTGGCTCCTGACCCTTCTTGTGCCCCAAAGTGGGAATTGGGGTTGGAAGCTGGGGGGAAAGTTCGGGGAGGGCAGGGTCAGGCAGGGGGAGTGTGGAGCAGGAGGGAGAGCTTCGGGGCTAGGCCCAGGGAGGGGGGCGTCCCAGGTCCAAGTTCCTCCCCAGCCAGGCGCAGCCCTCGGCACCTGTGTCCTCGGCTGTAAAATGGTTGGAATCAGAGCTGCTTCTCAGGAATGACCTGTTCTCAGGGACCCCTGATGAGGTGCAGGGCAGGCCTGGCACTACTGGGCAGCCCCTGGAGAGTGTGGTGTGAACACCTGAGCAACCAGCTGAGGAAGCACAGGGTATTCACAGGTGTTGCCGGGCTGCACTGAGAAGTAAGAATATGGGAATTCCCTGGCAGTCTAGTGGTTAGGACTCAACTCTTTCACTGTCAAGGGTGAGGGTTTGATCGATCCCTGGTTGAGGAACTAAGATCCCACAAGCAGCACGGTGCAGCCAAAAGAAAAAAAAAAGAAAGAAAAGAAAGGAAAGAATGTGCATGATTGATTTACTTGGGGAAAAATGCTTATTTGTATAATTAGATCACCTGGGCTTTGCAGGTCACCATCAGCCAAGAACCACGTGTTGATTTCTACCATAAAACACCAACATCTGGGCATGTGGCCCAGTGGGCAGCAATGGGCCTTCAGGCCAGCTAATACTGAGTGACTGGAGGCCAGGGTCGGGGGGTCGAACCTTTCTGGGCCTCCGTATCCTCATCAGGAGAGCAGAAATGGTAATAGTACCCACTTCATGGGTTCCTCAATGAGTATTAAATGAGTAAATGCCACAAACAGCTTGCAACAGTGCTGGGCTCACGTCACCTGCCAAAACAAGTGAGCCTGCCATTTGCAGGTCCCGACCAGGTCCTGGGCTCTGTGCTGGACAAGTGGACAGAGGCTGTCCTGCCCTGCAAGTCACAGAGGCACCTGTTGCCTGGCTGTTTCTATCCTGGCCTGTGTCAGTGCCCTGCTCTGTGTTCACAAATCATCTGTCCTTTCCCCACCCCCAAAACCTTGCCCAGGAAGTCAGGGCCCTTTGTCACACTGCCTCCAGGAACCAGGAACAGCGCTGGGCACAAGGAAGTGCTTGGTAAATACTGGTTAAGTGATCCTATGTACTGGAGTGGAAGGTAAACCTCAAACATGAACTTGCAGATACAGGCAGACCTTGTTTTATTGCACTTCGCCGATACTGTTTTTTTTACAAATTGAAAGTTTATGGCAACGCTGAGTCAATCAAGTCTTTTGGTGCCATTTTTCCAACATCATTTGCTCACTGCATGTCGCTGTCACATTGTGGTAATTCTCAAAGTATTTCCAACTTTTTCATTATTATTGTATTTGTTAGGAGGATCTGTGATCAGTGATCTTTGATGTTACTACTGTGACTCGCTGAAGGCTCAGATAATGGTTAGCAATTTTTAGCAATAAAGTGTTTTTTTAAATTAAGGTATGTACTTTTTTTTAGACATAATGCTACTGCACGCTTAATAGACTACAGTGTAGTGTAAACATAACTTTTATATGCACCAGGAAACTGAAAAATTTGTGCAACTCGCTTTATTGTGGTGGTCTAGAACCGAAGCACAGTATCTCCAAGGTATACCTGTACTTGGAAATGCTTTGAAGAAAATGAAACAGGGTCAGGAATTCCCTGGCAGTCCAGTGGTTAAGACTCTGCGCTTCCATTGCAGGGCGCATGCGTTCAATCCCTGGTCAGGGAGCTAAGATCCCACATGCCACAATGCGGCCAAATAAATAAATAAAACAGGGTCACGTGAAAGAGAAGGGACTGTGTTACCCAGGATGGTCATGGGAGGGAGACTCAGGGAGCAGGTGACACTTGAGCTGAAATGCAGCTGTGAGAGTTCTCTTTCTAGGACAGTGCTCCT